TTTTACAATTATTTTTATTTAATTCATTAGACATGGCTAGGCCGAGGCTAGATATTTTTGAATTTTTGAATTATTTTTTTTAAATATTAGACAGGGATTAGCCGAGGCTAACTATTTTTATTTTTTTCGAATATATTTATTTTATCTGATAGACACGGATGCGCCGATGCTAACTATTTCCCACTCTTGTTTTTCGTGTTTCCCTCTTAATTCCTTTCAGAATGAAGAACCCTAAAATTAAACCTTCAAAAGAAAAAAACCCCTAAAATCAACCTCAACTATCTCTGATTCTTCTTCTGCTTCTTTTCTTTAAAATCATCTCTTCGTTCAAGATCATCTCTTCGTTCACACTTTCCTGCTCAAATTCAACCTCAAACTATCTCTGATTCTTCTTCTGCTTCTTTTCAATGTAGTGAGTTTCAGTCTTGCTCTTTACCTGTTGAAGGAAGTTTATAAGATAGAGCTGCAAGTGCTTCCAAGAGTCATAGTCAAGCAGAGAAAAGACGCAGAGATAGAATCAATACTCAGCTTGCTAATCTCAGAAAACTTATTCCTAAGTCTGATAAGGTAGAACAATTTGTTTGTGTTATTTGCCATTTTAAGGTTAAGATTTTTTTATGTTTTTCATTCAACTCATGAATTTCTAATTCCAAACCTAACTGAGATTTAACAGAGCCTAAACTCCGACGCGACGGTGTTGGTTAGAGACTACAGCGAGGCAATCAGAGAGAAGAAAGTATATTGAACGTATTTCTGAACATGTGAGTTTATGGAATTATCATTTCGGTTATGGTATATTGAGTCTTAATGTTCTCATATTTTATTGATTTGCATTACTGTGATATTAGTTTTGTGATTCAATGTTCATTTCACTTATGAAATTTTGAGAATATTTGCATTACTATTGGAATGGCATGAACGATTTTATTCTATTTGTTGTACACGTACAATTCGAGCCAAATGGTCAAAGGAATCGTTAGTCTGAAGTTAGGTTACTTTGTTGTGTGTGTCAAGATCGCGTCGCTTTGTTATGAGGGATTTTGGGTATTCGAAAGCTAATTTGTTATGCATATCATCTTCTGATATGTCCTTGTAGAAAACTAATTCTTTTTGTGATCATATTCTGATGCTATGTGCCAACCACTAGGTTCCTTAACTGAGGAAGTTTCAAATTTTGATCCCTCCATTTGTGCATGAATGTATTTTTGTCAATAATATGCTGATTAGAAATTAATGATGAAAATTTAGCACAGGTGGACCTCTTCCACCAGAAGAGGTGGTATGACTGTGTTAGGGAAAGTTGCAGTTCCAAAACCTATAAACATACCCAGTCAGAGGTATTTGATTTTTGGCTGGATTATTTACCTTCACAATTATCTAGTGTTGTTGGTCCATGATCTAAACTTACTTATTTCCTTTTGTTTTAAGGTTAGAAAATCATGGTCTGGACCCAAATGTGGAGATTGTACCGAAGTGAGTAAATATTCTGTTAATTTGACTAATATGTATTTTTTAGCTGCTTTTGTTCCTGTAGACTAGATAATTGGTTCTTGTGTTTTCTTATATTTATTAGGGGTACCCTTGGCTGGGGAAATAAATCATCATCTTCTGCATCAAATGCATGGGGTTCTTCTGTGTCTCTAAATGCCAATGTTGGGCCTAGTTCACCCAGTCATCTCAGTACCCACCCTTCATCTGGTGAAATTGGCACACGACCTTCAACTTCTGGTAGTGATAGGGCTTCTGAACTAACTACTAGTGCATGGGGGTCAAGCTCCCAGCCTTCATCAGCATCAGGGCCACCAACATCAAATCAGACTTCACAGGCATCATTGCGTCCTCGCAGTGCTGAAACAAGACCTGGTAGTTCACAATTATCTCGATTTGCTGAACATGGGGCTGAAAATTCAGTGGCTTGGAATGCTGCTAGAACTACAGAGACACTGGTAGGCTTTTGTTCTTATTTGTGGTTAGTCACTTCATACGATGTTTTTACTGTAATTTATATGGCATCAAAAGATTAATAGATTGCTTTAACCAATGTTGAAGATGTTGCAATGACAATGACAATATTGATGTGCGAGTTTATTCGCATGTATGTAGCTAACAATTTCCAGCTCACACCTTCTATATTTCTTTGGTTTGAGAATGATACAATATGTTTTTAACATGCATAGTTTCTTTGTTAATGAAAATGTTTGCATGTATAAAATATATCTCGTATAAGTATGTTACGATACATGTGGGTTGTATCTCAATTCAATATAAAATGGAACTCAATCAATGTGAATCTATAGTGTGTATTTTTTTGTAACATGAATCTCATATTGTACACCGATTCGCTATGATGAATCCGGTTTCATTATGATGAACCTGATTCATTCTAATGAGTCACTACCTATTTAGTATAGCCAACCATGTTTGTTTTTGTCAATTTTGTGGGTTCAGCTACTTTTCTTTTGGCATTTGATTTCTGATTTGAATTGTGAGTTTGTTCAACTCATGACAGTTGCTTTTAGATTGTCTCTAGGGTAATGTAGGTAGTTTGTTGCTTTTGTCAAATTCCCTAACATGCTGTCAAATTGTTTGGATTTAGCATTTGTCATTTTAAAATGGATAATAAACTAGTTGTAGGAGGATTTGAACTTGGCAATATTTTGAACTCTTAATCTTCATGTTAGAACTGTGTTGGTTTGACAAATTGGTAATTGATTTTGAAAACAATGTTTCAATTAATGTGAGTGTTGACATTGGTAAACACCAAGTTTGTTACTGCTTCTGTTTAGATTTTACTCATGAGTTTGTTGACTTTCAAAACATTTTTGCTTTACTGGTGCTTTCATCTTGTTTTTACAACTTGCTGTTAAAGCTATGATAGTAGTAATTCGCATTGTAATGACCAACTCTCATCATCATGGATTTTTGTGTATTGAATATTGTCATCAAGTGTTCCATACTTGGAGGGCACATTGTGCATCATGGTTTGCTAATCCATGATGACAGGTTTTAGGTAGTCTAGGTAGGGACTTAGTAGATTTCTTTGTATGTTCTTTGCTGGTGTAGTCTGTTGAAAGGGTGTTGTCATGTGTGTTTAGTTGAATTCATGACAAGACTAAGTTTCAAACATTCATGACAAGACTAAGTTTCAAACATTGATGACATTGAATTCATGTGTGTTTAGTAGATTTCTTTATATGTATTTTGTATTCCAATATCTTGATGAATATGATATTATCATTTCTCTTTTTCCTAAGTGTTACTAGGGCAATAGGGTTATGTTGTTACTAGAGGGTTAATATTTTTGTATTGAAATCATGATCTTTGCTGTCAAAACTATTTTGAAATGGAGTTTATTAGCTCTTAAGGCATCGCTATTTTAAAACTTGTTTTTCATACTAAAGGTTGGTTGGTGTTTGTTGTGACAAATTGGTAACCTTCATTTTAAAGGCAACATATTGGTGTCATGTCCCCTATTGAGATGATTCAGACATGTTGAAGCATATGAAGATCAATACTGCTTTCATCATTGTTAAATTTGTTCTCCTTGTTTGGGTTTGGCAACTGTCATTTGGAATTTGGAATTGGAATTGGCAACTGTCACCGTATGAACTAGCAAGGAGGTAACCCCTTTTGCCGTTAGGTTTTACGTTGGACAAGCGCATAGTAATGGAACTGTAAGCTCAGCGCCAACAACAATGTTTACAGGAGCATAATAATTCTGGCCCATCAATGCCTGGCAGGTTGTAAGGCCTTGATAAGTTTCTTTTACCAATTCAGAGTAGGTGTCATTCTGCTTGACAGAGTAAGATATGTTATGCTGGTAGGCATTTCCAGCACATGAAAAAAATACTGACATAAATCTCTTCCGAATCCACTCATTTTAAAATGTAACTTACTTAAACTTCATTAGTGCCATCACAGGGCCAAATATCTCATCCTTTGCTATTAGCATGTCCTCCTAATATAGTATAATTATATTTTTCTACCAAAGATATAATCCTTCTGAGTCTAAAAGAGCCAGATCATGTGATTGGTGTTGCTTGTCTGTACTTCATTTAATTTTTTTTTCATTTAATGTAGATTCTTCACCCCACTTGGAATGGTTCTAGTAATTACATTAGTTGGTTTTGGATAATTTGACAGAGGCTTTCCTGTGGTACAGTAAAACACTGAAACCACGTGACTAGTACTATATGTATTCAGAATATCTAAATATATATATTTTTGTCTCATATATTGTTGTTCAGTTATGTTGTTCTGTCCTCTCTCAGGTGGGGACTTGTGTTGAAATTGGAATTCCTATGCTAATCTTGTTTATATTCTTCTCCCATATACAAATCAAATTTACGCTGCTAATATTGACTACAGTGATATGGGCATATGCACATCTATTGACAGCAAATAGAGCATACAAACACCGACTGAACAGATAAACTTGTTCCTACAGGATAAAGATTCCATACCCTCTTGACTGGGGTGATCCTACAGTTGATGATGGCCATTCTTTTGGAATGATGGCTGATGTTTTAGTCTCATTAATCGAGGTATTTTCCAATACATAAACATTTGATGCTCTTCCGTTTAATTTGTGTTATTTGAGCATAAGAATTCTTTTTTTAGTAAACCCTGGTGTTGTGTTCTCTTTTATATTGTCCATGATGGTAAAATAGCACAATAATACTAAGGAAATTGTGTAAGGCATAATGTATAATTGCACATAAACTTTTCTTGACTTCTTGTACAGGTTGTTGTCTTAGAAAATATTATGTTGTATAGGACTTTAATTGGCAACTTTGTTGATGCAGGCAATGGTGCAACTTGTTATTCAGAGATATACGAGGGAAGCTGGTGTTCGAAGTTTGGAAAGGAATCTAGCTGCCCTTGCTCGTGCTGCTGCAGTGAGAGTAGCAGAGCAAGAAGTAGTTCCACTTAGCAAAGAAGTATAGGGACTTACGACACCACTTCTGGAAAACAGACTTGTCGATAGCGCTGAAGTGGAAATGGAAGTGATACCAATGGGTGTCAACAACCGTGACATTTCAAACATATTTAGGATCACCTCTCCATTGGTTGTTGATGAAGCTATGGTTGAAAAAGTGCTTGGGGTAATTTCTATGCAAATTCTGCTTGTTTTTAATTAAAGCTTCAAAGACTACCCATCAGAGAAAAAAAAACAAAAAGTGATAAATTGAATTCTATAAAAAATTGCTGGCTGTCCCTCAGCAACTGGAATTTACAACTCTAAAGTTTTCCATATAACTTTGTATTTTACTTCAGATAATTACGTTTTCTGTTATGCAAATTCTGTGAATGCAATGCCATGTTAAAAATGCGCTTTTACAGTATGGCGCTGATATAAAAGGTGAATGGGTACCTTGTGTATGAAGTCATTTTGAAAGAGATCTTATATAAGCAATCTTCAATAGGAAATAGATTTTATAATATGCTTAAAGGTGAGGAATGACTAATTGGTTGATCTCATCAAATGCAGCCTCCAAAGTTTGATGGAAGAGAAACAGCAGCACGTGTTGTGACCCCTGGGATATCTGTTGGTCTGGTTTGGACTACTTTTGGTGGAGAGGTTCAGTTTGTGGAGGCTTCAACAATGGTAGGGAAGGGTGAATTGCATCTTACTGGACAACTTGGTGATGTGATCAAAGAATCAACTCAAATTGCACTAACATGGATAACCAACTACATCTAAATAAGTTTCAACTGGCTTCTATTTCTTTTATGCTCACTAGAATGATATGTTTCATCTTATACCTGTCCAAAAAATTTGTTTCATGTTACTTGTATTGGGCTAATAACCATGTATATGTGCATGGACAACCGCACACATGTAAGTGTGCAGTTGCAGATGTGAACTTGATAATCTCAAACATGTGTTGATGAATAATTTATCTAAGAATTCCATATGCTAATATTGAAAAATTGTTAATTCTCTTATTTTTGTGATGACTAAAATCACTGGTATCTGTGATTCTCAGGATGAAATGAAGCAACTAGCAAAAAGTGAAAGACTAGCAGTTAATGTGTCGAATGCAGTTAACTTGGTCTTATTTGCAGCCAAAGTGTATGCTTCAATTGAGAGCAGATCATTAGCAGTGATTGCTCCCACTTTGGATTCTCTCTTAGATCTCTTGTCAGGATTCATACTGTGGTTCACTACTAATGCCATGAAAACACCAAACCATTATCACTATCCAATTAGAAAAAAACGGATGCAACCGGTGGTATGTCTTTAACTTTAAACCTTTAAGAGTTTAAATTTGCAAATGTTGTGTGACAATATATCTTATTGTCATGAGATTGAAATGGATGCAACCAGTTGCCGCAACACAACACATCTCCCGAAATTAAAAATCATGATGCATATATTGACTTCAGACTCCTTATGCAGGGTATCATTGTTTTTGCATCCGTAATGGCAACCTTGGGATTGCCGATTTTGATTGAGTCTGGCAGGCAAATTATTTCCAAGGTAGTTGAGAGTAGTTCCTATTTCACAATGAATGAGTAATCAAAGCCTTTTTTTTTGTGAACCTTAGTAAACCTGTTTTTCAATTTTTTGTTTCATTCTCTCAGACAAAGGCTGAAATGGATCATAGTGAGTTGATGTGGATGATTGTGATCATGGTATTTGTGACCATTGTAAAGTTCATTTTAATGGTCTACTGTCGAAGGTTTACAAATGAAATCGTTAAAGCCTACGCACAAGATCATTGTTTTGATGTTATTACTAATTCAGTTGGATTAGTTGCTGCTGTGTTTGCTGTCAAGTTCTATTGGTGGATTGATCCATTGGGAGCTATTATTGTGAATTCATTTCTACCACTAATTGTATTGTAATTTTACAGATAGTAATCTTTATATTTATCAGGATAACGTTTCATGGGATCCTCAATATTTGTTGACTTATAAAGTTTGAACTTAGCCTCGAATAAATCGAGGCAAAATGTTCCTTTAGCCTCGACCAGGCCCAAGGCTAAATATTACGTTGGCTTATGGAGTTTGACTTTAGCCTCGGTCAGGCCCAAGCTATTTTTTGTTTTTTGACATGACTTCACCGAGGCTAATGTAGACACAGCTAAACTGAGACTAATGTAGACACGGCTAGACCGAGGCTACTGTAGACACGACTCTTTTTGGCCGAAGCTAAATGTTAGCTTTGATCGTTTTAGCCTATCCCCGACACCGACGCTACGCCGAGGCTAATTGGCTAGTAGCGGTAGTTTTTTGCCTTATAGTGTCGGAAAATGGCCGAGGCTAAATACTGTATTTCTAGTAGTGATAACGCCTTTGAATTAACCATCACGACCACTTCAAGTTTCCTCCCTCTGTTCTTGATTTACAATGTCAAACAACAATAATGAACATCAACTCCATAACACAGAAGCAACCACGAAAATAAAACGGTAACACCTTCAAACTCGGCAGAACCCACACATCACCATTGCTTCCACATGACACAATCAGGAAACCTCTGCTAGTCACTGTTACACGTCACCATCACCTACAACTTTCGTAGCCTTCATCCCGCAGTTGCAGAACTACTTTCTGACCACCACGATCATCCTTCATCGTCTGATAACCTTTTCCATCTCATGAGTGTTGTTTAACAAATTTTTTTATAATTTGAGTAAACTTAAATTTTCATGGCTTCCGTGTGAATCCACAAAATGAATAATATTCATTGTTGTTGTATGAATCCATGTAATGAATATATAATAAATTTCAGAAGAGAGCAAAGATTAAGTTTTGGTGAAAATTTTTAAAGTTGTCTACAGTAGCTCTTGGAATTTATTTTAAGATAGCACATGTTTCAATTTTTTTTTGGCAAAATACCATTTTTGCTCCCTTAACTATACCTTTGGGTTCAGATTGGTCCCTTAATTATTTTTGTGTCAGAATGGTCCCTTAACTCTTTAAAATGTGTCATGTTGGTCCTTTTTGTCTAATTAGCGACGAATTTAGCGATCGGATTTTGTATTTTTCCGTTGCTAATTAGACAAAAAGGACTAACATGATACGTTTTAAAGAGTTAAGGGACCAATCTGACACAAAAAATAATTAATGGATCAATTTGAACCTAAGGATATAGTTAAGCACCAAAAAGGGTATTTTGTATTTTTTTTCTTTATTGATTGTTCATCCTTGTTTCCTCCAGATTTTTATGATTTGTTTTTGTTGATTAGTATTCTGTATGGTTTGGGATGTGATAAACTATTGCTTTGAGTCGAGTTTCAAAATCGATTAAGGTGTTTTTGCTTCAGTTTTTTCACGTGATGGAGGAGGAAAAATCTTTGTTTTCATCTGTTGATTTCATGTTTTCTTGATTATTTTAATTTTAAAAAACAAATCATGCCACATGTCTTTTGCTTGTTGGATCACAAAGTTTGAAAATTCAATAACTTAACCGAAGGGGGGATTTTGGTTTCTTTCTTTCTTTCTTTGTCTCTTTAATATTTTTTATATAAAAATCAATTCGAAATTAGAGTTATGGCCTTACTCGCATGGGCCTCCCTTGGTCAACATTTCTATGTGCACCCCTCTCTATTACTTCTTTACCATTTTTTTATTCTTAATTTTTGTCAATTAAATTGCTAGTATATAACCCTCCATTAATTTCTGACACCCCCTATATGTTGTAAACACTTAGTAACAATGTAAAACATTTTGTTCGTCGCTACTTTTCATTGCATTGCGGACTCGGGGCATAAACTTGATTTTGCTTTTGAACATGTTTAGATGCACATATTATGTTGACTGGCTATTTGTATAGTGATTCTCACATGAATCCACTCTAAAAGATCTTTAACATGGTTCTAAATTCAGTTTGCTTTCGATTTTAGTTGGTTTTTGAGTTCCGTGGCTTACTCTTGGGCCTTCTTACAACAAGCACCTTTTATTTACATGTATTTCTTTGATGGATTTGCTTTCAATCGCCTTCTTATATCCCTATTTGACAAAATGTACCCCCATTCCCAAGAAGTGTAATAATTTACCGCTTTCCTAACTCAAGAATAAAATCAACCATCTTCCAAAAGAACAAAAATAAATCTTCGATTCAACGTCGAGTGATTTTCTCAAATCAAAACCACTTTCACATCATTTTCAAACCCTAATCCATTTTTCTTCACATTCAAATCCTTTTTCATAATTCATTCTGCAACGTTAACTAATTGCTTGATCCAACATCAAGTTATTTTCCCAATTAAAATCAAATACACTTGATCATTATTCAAACATTTTTCAATAAAGATGGAAAAGGAATGTGGTGCTTACCACAAAATCCAGAAGTTAGGATTCGAGATGCTTATCTCACTTATCCTAGATTTCACCATCTATAAAACTTCCAATGCAACTTCCACATACCTTTTCTGAATAAAACCTCAAAACATCTAAACCATATTAAACACTTTTGCAAATAAGATGGAAATGGACCATGGTGCTTACCGCGAGCTCCTGAGGCTAGGATTCGAGATCCTTATCTCGCATATCCAAGTTTTCGCCATCATTAAAATACTTCAAATACATCAAACCTTTTTTATCTCCCCCGTGTGATTGAAACCCTTTTAAAAAACGTAAGATACTGTTTCTTGAGACGACGTAAAAAATTGCTTCATACACAACCATTTGAGTCGAGATAAGTGGCATTTTCCCCATGGATGTTGATATGTGGAAATCCATTCAATATGATGCAAACGTCCATTTCTCGCCTGTTTTGGGTAAAACAATGTTTTTTTTGTCAAATGCGACTTAATATCTTATGCTAAAATCGACCAACAAATAAACATTTTCTACCCAAAACTATGCAGCCTTGAATTCTCTATTGCATCTAGAGATACGTAGGAGCGAGACCCGCAATCTCGTCAGGCACACTTTTAATAAAAAGCCTTTTTAGGTCCTTTTTTCCTTACACCCTTAATATAAAAAAATTTGTGCGGTTTCCTTTCCTTTTTCTTTTTAACACAAGCTAACATTTAAATCGTAAATCTAACTAAGAGGTTCCAATTGAGTACAATGGACGTAATGGGTGCTAATACCTTCCCCTTGCGTAATCAACTCCTGAAACCGAATATGGTTGCGACAATCATTATTCCTTTTTAAAGGTTTTATCGATATTTTCCTATTCGTTCATCAGAATAAATAAAGTTCAGTGGCGACTCTGTTCAAACAATTTTTCTGCGACCATCGCGAAGGAACGTATTTGTTGAGGTGCGACATTTATATATTACAACTGATACAAATGAGGTATAAAAAGAATACGAGAAATTAAACTTGTACACTAATCAAACTTAGAAATCAGAAAAATAATTTTTCACTAGTGTTGTTACCTAAATGACATTAATTTAATTATATCTACATAAGTATTTGAAGTTGCTCCATAGTTAGAATTATTTAACGAATTAGTAGTAATCATCAAATGATTTAAATTCTCTCAAACAATTAAGACTAAAAGGATCAATATGGGTGAGTTTAGAACGTCTAGTAATATGAGAATCAGAGAAAAGAGAAAAAATGTGTTCAAGAAAAACAACATGATCAGAAACACAAAATTTTCTTACTTGAGGATTATAACTAGAGTCTCCTTTTTACCATCACAAAAACAAAGTAAAATACACATCATAAAACGAGATAACAACTTACTATGTTCTACTTTTGAACATAGAACAAAGAAAGTAGGAAGAAGTAGAAGAACATATAACTGGATAACGAGAACGTGGATCATAAAGTCGCATTCAAGACATAAAGTCTCATTCAAGACATAAAGTCTCCATATCTAGTGCATATCCTAACCTGCCTATGTGAACGTGGTTCCTACACATAACAAGAAGTGGAAGAAAATATAACTGAGTAACGAGAACCACACAATTGAATAACATATTCAAAACTCAATCTAAGTTTAGAAATGCAATAAACATTAGAAAATGAAAAATTAGGTGTGGAGAGAGCACCACTTCCTACTAATGGCATATAAGGGCCATTAACAATCTTAATTGACAAAAATAATGCACAATTTTAGGAAACAAATGGGTTGTAATCATATGACATATAATGTGATGTCCTATAGTCAAAAGTAAATACAGAAATGACATACATGACTGTCATACTCCAAAATTTACCCTCAGATTCTTTGATCTCTCGCATATCATTTTAGGTTAATCATTTCTCGCATATTGCCCGAGTTATCAGCTAGAATGGACTTATTGGAATTACAACTGATTTGGTCACATTATGGACAGTTTAAGCCGTTTCAATGGATAAGATTTATTTCAAAATCGTACGAAAAACTGTATTCTTCCTAGTGGTTTATTCTGCGCCGATAATTTTGGTGCGTCCGTTTTTCGTTTTCAAGTATTTCGGTACTCAACTTTTATTTGCTTTTTATTTATTTTATTTGTGATTTGTTTTAAATGGTCTCTTATTAATTTATAATTAATTTTAATTTGGTAAGTATACTTTATTTATTTATTTTAGTTAATTGACTTAAAATTAATTTTATTTTGTTTAGTTAAATTAGGACTTTATTTTAGTTAGCTTTATTAATTTGGTTAATCTTTTAGAATTAATTTTAATTTTTCTTTAAATAATTAAGCTTTAGTTTGATTTTAGTTATTTTCTTTTATTTCTGTCAAATTATAGTTAAAAATAATCTTTTATTTAATTAGGAATTAATTAGGTTTATTTAATTAATTAATTTTTTAATTTATCTTTTTTCCTTTTCTTCTCTTTTAAAAAATGATTTAAATTTTACTTTTTGTTACATGTTAATGGCCCATTGTCTTTCTCTTTGTCACAATACAAAAATAAAAAAAATATGCAACACCAAGCGTACAACTTGTACG